TTTGGGTTATACCCATCTCCTGAATGACGCCAGGCGGAGCATGGCTGATGATAAATACAGTACTTATTCCAGAATTTGTATTCCACATTTTAATGCTGAAAATAAAATAAACCTTGTTTAAAAAAAAATAAAAAAAACAAACAAAACTATTAACTGTGATCAAATATACTAAGGTGATCTGGTAGCTTTATAAACATACATACCTGTAAATGTTCCAGGCTGCTACGGGCATGTTCAATAGGAAAATGAACCAGTGCATGGAGACCAACATGAGCATCATTGAGAGACACTGCCCAATCATCTCAGGAATCACCCACTAGAAACACAGGGCAAAAAATTGCTTCAATCCCCAAGCAGAAAATGATTGATAGTTTGTCAAAAATGTAAACAGAAGGAAAAAAAATTCTGATGACAACACATATAACAAGAAACAAGTCATTCTGAACATACACATGTCATTTGGAACATTGGATTTGCTAGATTAGAAAAAGGAAATAAATCATACACAAAGGGTACTTACTTTGTTAAGCTTGGAGCAGCAAGCACGAGCATTAATGTAGTCACATTCTAGATCAGACAGAGTGATAATCTTGGAATACATGTTAAGGTTTTACACATATTGTGGCACAAGCTGACAAGTCTTTCATTTCATAAATAAATGTGACTGTGGTACAACTTGTAAAATTCATTTCAATAGATCCAGGTGTCAAATGTCCCAAGTCATTCCAATCCACTTCTCCTCTTACCACCTGGGATTGATTTACTCTGATTTAAAAAGTTAAAGGTTTTAGTGGGTGATCCTTACGCAATTGGCCAAACTTTAAACCAATCAGGGTACGCATTAACTGGTTCAATTAAATTTACAGATCAATTCATTTTTTCAACATTTTTAGCATAAATCTTTGACCAATAAATGTAATTACCATAACACATTTTTAAACCTTTTTTTTTTATTATGTATGATTTGTTAATTGTTCCCAGTCATATAAAGTTTGAGACAAATGTCCATTTATGTGTAGTTACAATAATGATTACGCATCAAAATCAAATTTATCTATGATCATTCCTGTAGTGTAAATTCAGGAATTCAGAAAAGCGATTTCAGTCATTTGAAAAAACTTGAGAACTTCTTGAGCAAAAGGAAAAAAATAATAATTCATTCCTATCTTAACACCTACATTTTAGCCAGTGTTACAGTAATGAAAAGCTGTCATATGTAACTCTCATATGTGCATACATATATGCACAAACACATGCACACAGCTCTAACTTCTTTTTCCTTTTTATTACAGATTTCTGACAATATTTACCCTATGCTTTTTCAACCCAGTAGCTGCTTTAGCTGCTCTTGATTTCTCAATTCACCTTAATTACAAAGGTTATAAAACATGATTGAATGATTTGCAATTATTTTTAAAGGAAAATCCGGTCATACAGAATTGAAACTTCTGGAAGTATTTTAAATATGAAATTATTACATATTGTTCAAAAAATAAATGTCTTTAATTAAGAGTAATTTTCATGTGAATGTGCTTTAATGGAGGTATCCATGTTTGTCAAAGAACACTACTGCCACCTACTGGTTTGTGACGTCACGGTGCGGTATCGGCTGTTGATCAAGTCCCAGTGCTGTATCTGGTGTTTGTCACAACGCGCTATTATCCAAGTCATCTTGAAAACATTCTTCTTCCAAATGTTGGCTACATATTACGGGTTTTTTCTCTGGCGATGTCCGTGGAGGATCAGGAATC